TTTTTATATATATGTATGTATATATATATATATATATATATATATATATATATATATATATATATATATATATATATATATATATATATATATTTATATTTATTTATATATATATGTATATATATATATATATATATATATATATTATATTTATTTATATATATATGTATGTATATATATATATATATATATATATATATATATATATATATATATATATATATATATATATTATATATATATATATATATATACATATATTTATATATATGAAGAGTTTATTTTTAAAACGCGGTAAACGCTATTTAAAAAATTTTTCAGAAGTTGTGTGGTTTAATTTTAGTTTATAAGGACCTAGCAGACATTGTGTCTGAATATATGCTAAACGAAGTATAACCCAATATTTTTTACTTCTAAAAAACATTTATTTTCAAACGCGGTATAAAATTTTTTTTTTATTTTTAAAATGCGGTATTTAATTTTGACTAATCTGTGGCAAATGTATATTACCGTGGCAAATGTATATTATTATGTATATTAATGTATATTTTAAATGTATATTATTAATATTATGTTTAATGTATATTATTGTATATTTATATACAAATGTATATTATTAAATGTATATAACTTTTGCGCAAGCGCAAATATTTTATATATATATATATATATATATATATATATATATATATATATATATATATATATATATATATATATATATATATTATATATATATATATATATATATATATATATATATATATATATATATATATATATATATATATATATATATATATATATATATATATATATATATATATATATATATATATATATATATATATATATATGTATATATATATATATATATATATATATATATATGTATATATATATATATATATATATATATATATATATATATATATATATATATATTTCTATATATACACACTTGGTTTAGATAGACATAATACTACAATAGACACGGAGTAAAAACTTTAATCATTAGCATAATGAAAATAATTTCTTGCTATTTTTAAACTTATTGAAAGCATAAGGTTCCGCGTTGGTAATTAATGTCACAGAAAACCAACTCCAAAACCCTGCACAATCATTAAACACATAACTCAACATTTTTCAAATATTTAGTTCAAATAAGTCTTTATATGTTTTTTAGCTCATACAATGTTTAATAGTTTTTCTATATCGGCAATATATGCAATTCGCATTGCACAAAAACGCAGAATTACGTAAAATAATAAAGTTGAAAGAGAAACTCTAAAAAAAAAAAAATTTTCAACGAAGGACCGAACTCGCATGAACTTGCATCAAAACTAATGCATATTTTAGTTATGCTAAGTTTATTTGTCTTTACCGGACAATTTATCGATTTACCGGACAATGAGGTAAATAATGAACGTCACCATTATTACATTTAAAGTTTTGAACTTTTATAATTATACCCTTGAATAACTTATCCTTTATGATATTATTTATATGATAAAAACTAATCCCCACCGTTTGCATGTTTTTCTCATACCAAAAATCTAGGTTTACATAAATTATATTTATTGCTATAATTTTTATTATTACATTGATAATTATAACTATAATATATGTAATACTATTTTTACTGAGTGATCTGACTGAAATGGTAACTCAACTTCAAACATAGTACTGCTGATTTGATTATTTTTCCAAATGTTATCGCGAGCTATCACGTCACACCAATGATATATATTTAACATAGTTAATATATATCATTGCGTCACACTTACTAAGTTTTAAATTATCCAATAAGAAATAAAATTTATTAATAATCTTTTTTTTATTAATAAATTCAGTGGCTACTTTTAAACATGATGATGAAACAGTTAAATTATCTAATTGATTTCTATTAAGTACCATAGGTCCGCTTTTAAAGATCCGACTTGATTGCATCCGCTTGTTAAACATCCGACTAAATTGCATCTAAACCGCACCTAATATTTGAGTTTTTCAGAAATTGCCAATAAAAATTAGCCCTTTTATAAATATCAAATGAGAAATTTCCTTTAAAATCATTACTTTTGACTAACCCTTAACCTCTTAGGTGTTCATAATTATTACAAGCTATAATGTTGTCCGTTTAAAGAAGAAAATTTATGTTTTACAAAAC